GAAGACCCAATATTCTTTTTTTTTTGAGGTACTGGGGATTGAACTCAGGACCCTATGCTTGCCAGGCAAGCACTTTTCCTACTGAGCTAGCTCCCCAGCCCTCCAAAGACCCAATATTCATTGGGCATGTCAAGAAGGAAAATAAGGGTTGGCTGGATAGCTCAGTGGATTAAGCACCTTCTTAGGCAAAAGCGGGGATCAGGGTTTGATCCCCAACAACACATGCCACGCTGGCCCCCACCCTGGATGAGCTGAGCAGGCCACAGTTCACTCATGGTGGCACACACCTGTAATCCCAGCACTGGGGAGACTGAAAACAGGAGGATCACAGAAGCCAGAGCTGCATAGTGAGATCCTGTACCAAATACATTAAAAAAAATCACTACTCTTACGCATGATGTATGCCAAACATCTATATAAAGCATAAATCCTTGTATCAGTTGAATATTTCCAAAACAGCAGCTGTTTGAGACCTTCACATCATTTCCTGACTTTTTTCACCACTTTGAGAAAGTATCTGTTATTTTAGGGACAAAAATGCAAGAAAAGCACATTTAAGGGAGATACTTGCTCAACATCCTTTTCCTTCACAACTTCTGTTCCCTCCCCCACATAAAATGCCACCACCAAATGAAATAAGTAAACAGATAAAGCATTGTACTTATAAACTATGCAAAATGAATCAAATTCTACGTAGAGGTGCATTGATTAATATGCAGCTTCCTAATTTAAGCAGCATCTACAGCCTTACAAAGGGACACCAGGGACTTCACCAGTGAGTGTGCATGCAGGCATATAGCAATATAAAAGCAGCGTGTAAAAAAATTCACTGTGTGGCCTGTCACTGACAAACTATTATTGTATACAAAAAGTGACTGGATGTACACTAATTTAAAATTTCCACATAAACTGAAGAAAACTGAGAACACTGTAAAAATATGAATTTTTCTACTTCATAAGTCAAATCTAAGCTCATGAATTTAAAGTTAACTTCTAAGATGTCAACCACATTAGGTAGGTCTCTTCTCAGCCCCAAACTTTATTTCCTTTGATATATCACTGTGGTTTTTCATTTTACATCTGTAGTAGTAACCAAAATTGCATTTCTTCTAAAATGAATTTCATGCTCAACTTGTTTTTCTTAATTAAACTTCCTTTAGCAGTTGCTAATATGTGAATTATTAAAACTCATTAGTCCCATTCACGCTTGCCTGTCACTTTTTGGCTACACGTTCCTATGTTGAAGTGCTTCGTTACTACACACAGGAAGAAAATTAAATAATAAATATGGGAACTTGAACGTTTTACGAGTGTCAGGATGAGAGAGTGCCTGCAAGGCCCATAAGGTTTCACACAAAAGAGGCATTACAGCTAAAGCCAACATGCTGACACATCTCTGATCTATAAAGTCTGCAGTAATGGCAGTAGTAAAGCGCTCTGCCATTGACTAGAATTTCTCTTTCATGCAATGGAAATAGGCATAGAAGAGATTATATGGACTGTTATAAAAAAGAATTTATATAAAAATCCCTCAAAAGCTTAATGTCTAATAACTTCAAATACCTAGAGTGATTTACTAGTTTTCTCTGGATTCAGTGAAGCCTAGAGTTGGCAGTCTTTTTCTTTCACAGAGATTCACTACTAAATAGGTGTGCTGGGGGTTCTGTTTGTCTGTTGGGGAGCATTTGAAAGCAAAGATAATTTATAGCCTTTTCTAGCAACATATTTGACATTGTCTACATGATTTCATTAATACTGTTAAAATGATTCCATTAATAACACAAAAGAAATACCCAAACTTGCTATTTTTAAGGAATCATTCTTAGAAACAGTTGGGGATATTGTTATCCTACTACATTAGAGCTTAGACACTTCAAGATGTTTTAAATTACCTTTTAAAAGTAATGGAAAGGATAAAGTAGATTCTTGAACATTCAGTACTTCAATTCTTACTGTCTTGGGTTTCACAAATTTACAAATTGTAAATTTAAATTAATTTCATGTTTTGTTTCCTTCTTTGTTTTTTGCATTTCTCAGTACAGCAGAAGAGATGGAAGATCTGTTTTTCTAAATATTAGATACTAAATTTCAACAAACTTAAAGATTCATCTCTTTCCATTTCTTTGCAATGAAGTGCATGAAGTAATTTCATTTTAAAAAGTCAGTCAGGGTGAAATGACATGTAATTCATTTCAAAAAATTTAGAAGGAAGGAGCAGAAAATATGTTTTTCTTCCCTCAGTGTTAGGCCAGTAAAAACACATGAAAGGCATGCAAGGGACAGAGGCAGATGTCAAGCAATGTTCCAGGGAGGCAACATGAGTTTTCTATAGCTATAAGCTTGGGGAAACCCAGTGCTTTAGTCTGCTATTTATGTTACAAACTGGGTTTGCAACTCTTAGAGTTCATTAAGGGTTTCTACCTCTTTACCTGCCACATTTGTTACTCTGATGTAAAATTAAAACAACAAACCAAGACTGTATTTTTTAAAAAATAACTTCATGATCAAAACCATATATGTGGATGAGACAGTACAAAATGTAATTAAGTTTCCAAGTGACCTGTTCAGGTTTTAAACTATTCCTAACCTGCTTCACTCTACTGGAAAAAGCATTTATCTAACTGGACACCTTGCTTTTCATTTACTGGCGATAGCTCTTCAAATGTGCTTGTGTGTGTTTATTTCCTTTGTCATTGGCCTTCCAAAGTGCCTCTGCAGTCTGTAAGGTTGAAGCAAAGTTTTATTAAGACCTGCTGTAGAAACCAAGATGAAATCCAATGATACCAAAGAGTGAATCAAACTTTCTCTTTTTCATTTCTCATACCAAAAAAATATTAGAATGACAATGGGGAAAATATAAAGTATTCTTAACAAAAGTATTTTTAGTCACTACAAATGTACATTGAGCTAAGCCTTCAACAACAGCACAGTAGCACATACAACAATCACTGATATAGTGATTTTACAATGTGCAGGTAAACTCTTAAAAGAAGCTCCTTTGCAGGTTTCACGTCAATCACTACTTTTGCATCAATAGTTATATTCTCTAATAACTTCGAAAGAGACATCCAAGTTCACCTACCACTCACCTCCACTTACTTATTATCACTTAAGATGTTGTTAGCTGCCTTTGTACTGATTTAATCTTTGAAAGAAGTTGATAATTATTGGACTGTGGCTAGGATTGCTGATTACAATGCACCAATGCACAGAACACCTATTCTTCGAGCTCCAATCCGCACACCAACCACGTGACCTACAGAAGTGCAAGAAGAGGCACAGCTACCTTCCCATATAGCTCCTTGCGACTCACAGCTAGGCTTGAGGAATTATCTCTTGCTACCTCTGTAATCTTCAGAAAATCTTGAAGGAAAAATAGGTACCTTTCCCATTTTAAAATTCCTGAAAGACAAAAGTTTCATATTTTGCTATTTCATCTGAAAAGTTCAGATTTCATGCCCTTACTTTCGGGGTTGAAGACGCACGCGCACACACAGCCAAGAGCAGAGTTTGGTAAGAGCCATCCTGAAATAAGTGAATGTCTGATGCATTGGGAATTCCCGAAATAAGTAGGGGAGGTGGCCTGTGCTTCAGATGACATTGAGGAGCTGCCTTTTGCTGAGTTCATGTGGTAAAGACTTGCATGCTAAAGCCCCAAAAGTCCATGCATACAGAGCAAAATTTGTAAGCAGAAGCTTCTGAAAAAGACGTCTAATATCTTTCTTCAAAAGATTACAATATTCAACAAGATACATCGCTTTATATCTTAACAATTATCTATTTGCATTGTATTTCAGTGCATTTCAATGTCTGACAGTTTAAAATTGAATTAAAAAGTGAATTGACCCTAAATAAAAAAAAAATCCAACTAAAATAATGCTCTGAAGCGTCAAAGGGAGGGTTGTATTAATCTATTCAGCACTTCATTGCATGCATACGTATATATGTTTTAAATGAGTCAGTTCTTTGCATGGAATTGATTTGAAGCTATGTAGACGCCAAAACTGGGTGAGGACAGCATGCTTCGCCAAGATTCCAAAGCAACTTTTCTTTCTCAAGTCAATTAATATTCACTCATTTGAGTGATTAATTTTAATTTCATAAACACTGAAATTGATACCCTTCCACAAATGAAGATGAGGTTTTCCAGAGAGCAGCAATTAAAAAAAATTTTTTTTAAGCATTCCTTATATTCAGCGGCAAGAAAATAAGAGTATCTAGAAACCGCGCGCACCGCTCAGTCAGAAAGAAAAGCCAGTAGCGGCGAGGCAGGCAGAGAAGGAAGCGTCGGAAACGCAGCCCACTGCCTGGCGCACTCTCCAGCCTGGGCCCTCTGAGAAAAGGCTGCAAAGATGTCTCGGGCTCCTCCGACTCCAGAAAGTTACCTCCGCCCGTATTATGGAAAGTCGTGCAAGTGAATTACGAGGCAGCATGTGTGGCCAGTCGCCCGCCTCTGCTGTCTCTGTCGATGCATAGACCCTGTAACCCTTTAGTGTCGGGCTAAGGAGAGAGAGAGGCTGGAAAAGGTGGGAAGAGAGGGAGGGAAAGCAGACGCCGCGGATATGGCCAATCCCCGCCCCCAACCCCCACCCCTGCAAAATCACCCCCACGAGCCCAGAGCGCCTCTGAAACCGCGGAGGAAGCAGCAGCGATTTCTACTGGGCTTTTTCCCCTCCACGGGCAGGTTTTCCAAGCATTGTTGCCTCCTCTCCTTAAAGTATCACTAGGAGAAAGCGGAGGATCCGGGAGGGATCTCCCAACTGATAGGTTTTCAATGCAAACTTGAGAGATTACAGGGTTGCTTTGCTTTCCCACTGACGCCACGGAACAAGGTTTTCGAGCTCGATCTAGGTAGCTCCCCAGCGATCCCCCGAGATGCGCGAGGTGGTTTGCATCGCCCCTTCTCTCCCGGTTTCCCAGGCGCCGCGTCCGCATCACCTTCCGCGCAGTGGCACAGAAACCCAGGCAGCCCCCTCCCAGGAAAGGAGCCTCAAACTTACCCCAGCAAAATAAATCCACGGCGGGAGCCCCCTCATCTATCCCTACTCCCCTTCCAATAATTCAAGGGGACGGTTTCCACAACACTTCGCCGTCAAATTCAAGCTGAAATGGTCAAAGTATTTACCAGTTTCTAGACGCTTTTTAAAAATTCTTGAGCAGCCAACAATTCTTGTTTCAGTACCCAAGATGCTTCTTTTTTCACCGCAACCACAGTTTTGCACTCCCCCCCCCTTTTTTTTTATTCACCCATAGACTCTTCCCAAACGTCTCGGTTGATCCTTTTTTCTTTCCAGATGCAAAGACGATCCACAAATCTGGGGACCCGAAGCCACCTCCATGTAAATCCGACCATCAGGCAAGAAATACAAATGATCAAACAACGTTACTTCTTTCCGCTGCAATCAGATAATCCTACTAATCCAATAGATTTATCTCGATTGGAAATTGACCTCAAAAATGATTTTCCAACGCTGATGTCCAGTAGAACGATTTCTTAGCTCTGTGCGAGTGACCGAAAGAACTGTGGTTTCTTTCTTTCTTAAAAAAAAAAATCTTTTTGGATTCTGGGTGCACTGCTCGGAAAAAAATGCCGAGGACCCTGGTTTTCCCCTAATATAGGTTTCTACTCCAAATCGGTGCAGAATGAAAAATGGTACAAAGATACCCCTAGTGGCTCGAGGCGTTATTGCAGGGAACTCACTTTTTTCCCGCATCCCCTCGCCTCACCTTTTCCCCCCACCCCTGTAGACAACTAGTAGCTTTTGTAGTAGGCCGTCAAAAAGGCTGAACTGGTATTAACAAAAATATTTTATGAATACCTGAATAAATATTCTTCCTTTTGTTCTGAAGCTTCTGGTTGTCTCCTCATTATTGAAAAATTACCTAGTGGCATTTAGAACCTAAAATGTCCATCTGGGGCAGCACAATGATTTCAAAGCAAATGTATTTGTTTCCTTGGTCACTACAGTTATCAGATAAAAAGCCTCAGTCTTCCTGAAATATTTTACTTTTATAAATACCATTAACATCTTGTTTTATATGAATATGGATATACATCTTTGAGACTTTCCCCCCTTAGTTTAGACTTTTCACGTTCATTTAGAAAAGCAAGCAATAGCTTTTGTGAGCTCCTGGTCAAAGAGTAAGATTTAAGCAATAGGAAAGAGGCCTCTGGCTTACTTGCTGGCATTTTTTGGAATTCAGTGACCTCAAGATTGTGACAAGGATTTTTGGCAGGCTTCAAAGAAAAAAAGAAATCATTGATATGAATTTCAGGACATTGTTCTCCTAAGCAGTAGTAACAAATTCTCACAAATAGTTTTAAACAACAACCTACCACCTTTTGTGAAATGAAAGTTCTAGTTGTATAGAACCAAAAGTAGGTTGAAATTCTAAACTTCTAGTAAATCCTTTGAGCAAAGCTAATGACATATCAAGGCCTAATAACATAGAAAAATTGAATTTATTTTCATGCTGATGGGAATCTTTCTTAAGTGACTAAATAATTCAGCCCTTTTAGTGTATGAACTGTTAAAGGATCCAGAGACTTTCTTACCACGACCGATTTTAATATTAATTGGTGATGTAACTTGGAGCTGTCAGCTTTTTGCTTATGGTTTATCCATTTATTAAAATTCAAAATAAAGCAAACATTCATGTTCCTGGATGGAAGACTCAGTATTGTAAATTAATACATAATAGTATTGTGATTATTATTAATATTCTATTACAGTTTTTTGCAGAAAACTTTGTCAATACAATATGAAGAACAAGGTTTGGGAAGTTTTTTTTTTTTCCATACAAACCATTAAGGCTTAATGTAAAATGACAGGAGTTATGGCAATGGAACTTTGATTCAAAGATAAAAATTAGTTCAAAAGAATAGTATTGTGTGTGTGTGTGTGTGTGTGTGTGTGTGTGTGTGTCCATGCACTTAGGGAATCTTGATAAGTAACAAGTGGCATTCAAGATCAGTGAACAATAAATAAATTACTCAGACAATAGATTAAGCATATGAAAAGAATGATAGTCCTATAACTTAAATATTTAACATTTGAGTGTATATTTAAAGTATGCTAAAGGCATAAAAATGCAAAGATAATCTTTACAACATTTCAAGGAAGTAATTCTATCATTTTTTTTCATTTTTTTTTTTCGATGTCCTCAGGACAGACTCTGGTTTGGCTTGAGGATCTGGGGATCAATCCACAGCATCCCGAGCCTGATAGCTTTGTTTAAGCAGGCACTTAAACAACTGAGTTAATGGGCAGGTCCCCAGTTCTATCATTTTCAGTAGAAGGAAATAGTTTATTAAACAAGCTAAGTCCATAAGATAAAAATGGTAAATTTGTTACATTAAAATAAAAATAACATACATAAAAACAAGCTTTAACTAAGAGAAGACATTTTCAGTGCAAAAATTATTGCCAAAAATTTGTAAAAGTTTCTTATAAATGTGTTTTATAAGTTATAATGAGGGAAACTGGGCTAAGAAGACTAAGAGTCAATTGACAGAGAGGATTTTAATGTCTAATAATCATTTTAAAAAAGCATTCAATCTCCCTTGTTGTTAGAAAGATAGATGATAAAATGGTGGGACGTCATTTCACAGCCATGAAACTGACAAAAATTTACAAATCTGGTATTACCAAATATAGATGAGCCTGTAAGAAGCTGTGTAAAATGAAACAGCTAAACATACAAACGCTGTAGGAAGCAGTTTAGCAATAGCTGAAAATTATCATCGCCAGTAATCCAGTTTCTGACTCCTAGAAATATCCAGTGCAGAATTACTTGAAAGTGCAAAAAACATGGAAATAATTTAAGTGCCTCTGGATAAATATCTAGACGAATAATTCACAGAATAGTCACATACTGAAATATTAGAAACACTAAAGACAAAAATAAACATGTCGCAGTTTCTTGCATTAGTGTGGCTACATCTCAAAAACATGATGTTGGAGGGCTGGCCAGACAGTTCAGCAGATTAAAGTGTCTGCTTAGGCAGATGCAGGAGCCAGGGGTTCAATCCCAGCCTGAGGTACCAGCCCTGCTCCCAGGGTGCACTGAGACAGTGGTTGAGACTGGGCATGGTGGTGTGCGCCTGTAATCCCAGTGCTTGGGAGGCTGAAAACAGGAGAATCACTAAATCTGATCTGTGTAGTGAGACCCTGTAGACCCTGCACTAAGTACATTTAAAAAAAGTAAGAATTAAAAGAAGGAGAAAAAGAAAAACATGACATTGACCAAAAGAGCAGGTTGTTACAGCAAGACGCCTATGAAGTGATACTATAAACATATAGCTTTAAAACTTTCAAAATAATTACATAGTATAATTTTGATTATAATATCTATGTGTGTGTATAATTATATACACACA